TCATTAAAAACGAGGGTTAATAAATGTAGCGGAGTAAAAAGTACATTTGACTCTGAGACGTAGTGTGGTATAAATTAGCATTAAATGGAATTAATGGAAGCAGCAACAATATGTCAAAAAAGTAGTTGAATACATTACTCAGTTACGTTCCACAATTGAAAGAAAAGTATACTGTATGTACTAAAAAATCTACAGAAGCTTTTCCTAAATAATGATCATCTGCCAGAGTGAAAGCCTACAACTGACATGGATATCTTTCTGAGCTCATATTTCTATTTGTCACTGCGTAAAAACCACCCGATGGAGAGTGGCACTGTCTGCTTCACCCTTATAGAGACTAGATGCTGCCGGCTGTTGGAGGCACAGCATGTCGTGTTAGCGCCCTTAAGGAATAATTTGACATTTTAGGAAATAAGCTTATTTCCAATCATGAATAATAATAATAATAATAAATAATAATAAGCTTATTTCCAATCATGAATAATAATAATAATAATAATAATAATAATAATAAGCTTATTTCCAATCATGCCAAAAGTGATATCAGAAGATCGATAAAACTAATTTTTGTCTGTTAGATATAATTATGAAGTCATCCTGTTAGCTTAGCTTTGCACAAAGACAGTCAGCCTGTCTTAGTCTGAAGTCAAGTCTCCATTGAAAATCATGGTATTCAACATCAATAATTGTATACATTATATGTTTGCCACATTGTGATATATCAGAAAGAATATTTAACTCCATGAAAAGTGTAACCAGCCTCATTTCAGCCCAGGGAAGCTTTTCTACACAGAAGAAACAGAGTTTGACTTTATGTCTGAGAGTTCAAACACAGGTAGCCATTGCCATGTTCTCTTCATGCAAGAATTTACAAACCTGTGAAATGTGCTGCTATATATTTAATCCATAGAATGTATGTTTAATCAGAAATTGTATAAAGAAGAAAAGATGGCCAGTCGCACAGCAAAGGCAGAGATGAAAGGCCTTTCTCTACACTGGCTACTGACCGACCAATCAGCCGTCCTAAGTCAGAGTCTCACTGGCCTTGGGCTATCACTATTGTCAAACCCTGGTGCACGAATGTTAAGAGAAAAAAGCAGAGCCACGCTATGTGGGCTGCATTATTCACAAGGACAGGGTGAAAAAAAGAGTAAGGTGAGGAAGAACGAGAGAAAGAAACGGAGAGAGAGGAAGACATGTGTGAAAGAAAGAGTGAGAGACAGAGGAAGAAACTTTAAGAAGAATTTGAACAAAATGCAAAATCAGGATCCGAGAGAGCATCACTGGGCACGGCAGCTTAAGAAAGATTTCAAAGTTTGTCGAATCTAAATGAACATCAGTTCCCTGTCCTGGCTTTACCCTTAATTATCCATTCTGCCTTTGTACGGCGGCGGCTCAGCTCTGACAACCGCTCTCCCCCGAGACCCCCCCCTCCTCCGCTCCCAGCCAGAACATTAGGGAATATCAGGGAATATTACACCCAGGAATTAACGCTCCAAATCACCTTGCCAGGTTTAGGTCCCGCATGCACCCCTCCTTCTCTTGGACAAGATAATCCGGGCTCTAGCACCGGATATATGCCACTGATCATCAAAAAGGTAAGGGCGGGGGTGTAGGGAGAGAGAAGAGGAGGAGAGGAGAGGAAGACCTTGGAGGGCATGGGAGGAGAGGAGAGGAAACCTTAACAAATCTGTGTTTGTGTTGGTAGCTGACTAATTTTGACCTAAAGTCTAAAAAGGGCAGCTACAGAAACTAGTGCACTAACTGGCAGAAGGATTACATTTAAATAATATTTAGTGGTAACATTGGGAAACCTTTCTGTGATTACTGACAGTATCTCAATGCTTTAATTGACACGTTGCCAAGAGAGATTAAACACTGAATTATTTGCGGAGCGATGTCACTCAGGTGTGTATTTATTTACCTGTTCTTGCGCTTCCTGCTTCTCGAGCTCTGCCTCCAGTTTGTGATCGACAGCCTCCTGAAGATTCCTCCTGAGCTCCAAAACCTCCGACTCCAGCCTCACAGCTACAGACCTGCACACACACAAAACATCTACTCAAATATATGCTAAAAGAAAGGAAATGTAAACTTTCATTTCATTTACTTTGTTACCTCTTTACACGTAATTGTATTAGATTAGCAATATTATAAAGTTCATCTTACTTAATAAACTGAACTAACATTAACAAAGATGTACATTTTTAGTAAACTGATAATACATTTAAATATATAAATTGTAGAATAGATCTCATTTAGTTTTTCAAATGTATCCTAAAAGTAGGTTTTATGATAATAATAATAATAATAATAATAATAATGAATATATTTTCACTTTTTGCATTATTTATAACAAAAAACTAATCCTCAACACTTATGGATTTAAAAATATAAGTTTAAAAACAAAAATCCAGATATGTAGGAGTGTTTAACTTAGGCCCAGAAAGTGTGAGAGTGTTTGTGTGTGTGTGTGTGTGTGTGTGTGTGTGTGTGTGTGTGTGTGTGTGTGTGTGTGTGTGTGTGTGTGTGTGTGTGGCAGCCGAGCTAAGGGAATGTGAAGGGGATCAATATGAGGGGGTCTATTCCTGCCACGCAACTGTGCGTCTGTGTGTATGTGAGTCAGTTAGTGTCTGCAAGTGTGTGTGTGTGTGTGTGTGTGTGTGTGTGTGTGTGTGTGTGTGTGTGTGTGTACGTACATGTGTGTGAGCCAGTTTGTGTGTGTGCCAGCTGCCCTGGCTACAGCGAGATCAATACTACAAATGATTACCATTTCCACAAACCTCCCTCCACAGCCTCACTCCGGCCGCTCAGCGAGCCTCAACACCCCCGCCAACCTTCACACACACACAAACACACGCACCAAAACAAACCGCCCCCACTCTTGACCCACACCTCTAAAAGCAAATATAGAAACCTACAAGTTTATTAATAGTAAAAAAGATTTGGGCCTAGTAGAAGAGAAAGTTTTGGGACTTTATAGATTTTACAGTTAAAGCAAGAATGACTATGCAGGGAAGGACCATAAAGTCAGCGTTTCATTTCGTTTTGATTAGCATTTGTGTCATAATAAAATACCAAAACATGAACAATATCTACCCCTGTCTCTATAAATAATTTATATTTTTTTCAGTTGAGAGATTCAACTTTTAAGGTAGCAACTATCATGATTTTATTATTGATTTACCTACCGTTTGTTCCCTCTGTTAATCAATTGATCCATTCATTTTTGTGTCAAAAAAGCGTGAAAATTATCTGTCATTTAAAAAAAGTTATTTGTTGGAATGAAATGTTTTGCCCACTTTAGAGACCAATCATTTAAGGCACTCAATTTGTAATATAAAGAATTACATAATAAACAGATAATTTCAGCTCAAATGAAAATTACTTTTATTGGAAAGTAGACAAAAGCTATTCTCAAATAAACATCCTCAAAGTACAGTTTTCATCATAAAATGATACGAGAAAGTCCATTTTACCAGCTGTGAGGGATACCCATCAACATCTCGGACATTTCAATATATTATCTTTTTAAATGATTAGAATATATAGAAACGAATTCACGAGTTGACTTTCCGTCTGTGTCTCAACACACAGGATAATAATGTTGCAGCACTGAACTTAAACTGATAGAAACAGAGTAACTCAGGGGTAGTAAAAGCTGAAGCAGAGCGGCCAAAACAAAAAGGAAAGAGAATGCGTGATGGATTGGTCCGTGGAGAGAACACATGATAGGATGAACAGCGAGGGAGAGAGAAAGGGAAGAAAGAGAGGAGGCATCCTGTGGAGAAAGGAGGGGATTTCCCACAGCACAGATGGAAGCCATTAGTATGGTGTTGTTGCTTAAAAACCTTTCATGTCTTTGCAGTTATTAGATAATACCGGGTTAACGGTAAACAGCATGATTCTGCAAATGGATATATAATATGCAGAAAACAGCAATTGTTTTCCCATTCACCACCTAAAATTAGTAATAAAATGCAACAATTCAGAAAGTAACCTATAAAGTCTCCTACAGAGTTTTGACGATAAAAACTGCTCCACAAGAAACTCCCAAAGTCGCCGACCGTTGCAGTGAGGTCATGTCGAAGCCAAAGCCACAACCACAACTATGCGCACAAACAGACACACACAAACACACACTCTACTGGGTGATACATGCGTGCTGATGTCATCACCGCAGCTCTGGTAACACACAGGGGTCAACCGGGGGTCTCGCCTCTGAACTCTGAACTCCACGACCTAACATCTGCTTACCTACCGTGTCCCATCGATACACATTTTGTTAGATGAACTCAGGAACAGAACCATTTTTTTTTGCTTTGGGATATCTAAATCCTTGGATAGAACAAAAAGTTTTTGACTCTCTTAAACAGTATTCAGAGCTTAGGGCCGTTCTGTTTAACACATGTACAGCCTACTGTGCAACGCACTAATACAAAACTAAATGTTTTTGATTACTGTGCTTACACAGGGGACGATGGGAAATGGGATAACAGAGGAAGCTCCCGCTCTCCCCCTCTTACCTTATTTTCCCCTCTGCTAGCTTTCCCTCATTCAGGCACCCCTCCATCCGCCTCGCCTCCTCTGCACGGGCTGCCTCCTCTGAGCAGGAGAGAGAGAGGACAGACAGAAAGGTGTGAGATTAAGAGCAACAGTTCACATCAGTGGCTGTAATTCTGCATTCATTAGAGAGAAGGTTTCATTTAAATGGCCATGACAAAAATACATGTGAAATATAATGTCAGACAGCGCTTGAGGTTGTTTTTATTGAATGAAAAGAAAGAAATATGTAACATGAGTATAGATAGTACTTGACATGGTTAATATGATGATTTACAAAGCATACTTTACAGAGGGGATATTTATTCTCGTAAGCATGAGAGGGAAAATGTGAGCCTTCAAAGCCAAACGAAATCCGCCACAGAGTCACTAGAGGCTTTTCAGAGGCAGAAAGTGTTGCACTGCTTGCTCTTAGACAAGGCAGCAGCCCTTTTGGTGGTAGACAAAAGGAGCGCTCCCTGACTCGGTCAATAGATGGCACTCTTTACCTTGAGCAAGCCACTGGAGCTCCCACTCCTGACTGCATCCCTTCAATCACATTCGCTTTTCAGCCTTTCCTCAGTCTACATGCAATAAAACCCCATTGTCCTACACTTAGTAGTTTAGCGCATTGAGCAGATGCATAATAAACTGACAGTCCGGCTCCTTGCTTAGGTTTGCTTTCTCAGACCCTTCTCAGTTTGAATTTAAAATGTAAGATTTCCTTCTTTTTTTTTTGTTCTGCGTGCTGTTTTGTGAGTCAATGTTTCTTCATCGCTCTTAAAACCTTTTCACTAAATTCAGTATTCATTGAATATAACATAAACTGTCAGCCATCGGTGGCCAAGGCTAGTGAATATTGAGGAGGTGTGCGCGCTGAATATGTAGAGGTGTGTGTGTTGAATATTTACAGGACGGACCTTGACTTTGTGGGTGAGCGTTTGTGTTTGAGTGTGTGAAATAGAAATAGAGAAATGTTAAGTGTATTTCTGTAATGCTTTTAGCGCCGCACCCTGTGATGGTGGGATAGACAGAATAAGGGGGAAGCTAAAACCAATACTAGAAACGAGGAAACAGAGAAAATAAAATCAACATTTAATAAAACTATGATTAATTTATGGTTGTGCAGCATCCAAACTGTTTAAAATAAAGCCCTCAGAAAATTGAAACTGGAATTGCTAAATATTTAACGACACACAGACACTTTTATTTCTGTGTGTGCCTGCCTTGGCTATTTCCCTGAATCTCAAGGTGAAAGTTTGTTATGAATCTCAATAATCAATAAAAGGAGGGATATGAAAACTTGAGGTGGGGATCAAATTCGCATTCAAGGCATTAGTTTTGAGGTGACCTCAGTGACACTTCCCGCCAGGGGAGGCCACAGAGAGAGCAATTAGCTGCAAAGACTGACCGTTTACACAAACGCTCCTATTTGCACCAAAACACACACAACAGGCAGAGATACACACCAACACACCGAAACCCACACGACAGATTAAGTGAAAAGACAAACAGCTTTCCTTATAAAGAAATCTAGAAATATGAAAACAACTAAAGTAGAAAGCAGCAAACACAGACAAATAGATAAGATGTGTGGTATATTGAGATTACTCTGATGATAACATACTGCCAACATTAAACCAGGGTCCGCTGAGGATTTCTCAACAGTCAATTCTCCTCAATAGCTTGAGATAGTCCATACTGTGAGGCCCGGGGTCTTTTTACATCTGGCTTCAGAGTTAAGTTATGACATTAGACAACAATCGAAGATCTTGGGTCTCTCACTTTCTTGACCTTTTTATTCTGGCTTCACAACTTAAGGTCTGACATTAGTTCTTAATCTAACTCTCTCTCGATCTCTCAATGCCTTCATACGCGCTTCAAAGCCCGTCATATAGTGTCGGTTTATAATCACAGATCTGCGGTCAGATTACCCCGCTCTCACGGCTAACCTTTAACATGAGAGGGACGAAAACCCGGCTCACCCTGAATCAGCGGTCGGGCCCTGCCCGGCCCTCATAAAAGCTTCATAAGGCTTCATAGGGGCTTCCTTTGGCTTTGTTGGGGGATTCGTAGCGGGCTAAGGTGCTCTCGGGAGACGTCCCAAAGCATCCCAAGACTCTCCCGCTCTCTTTCTGAAGTTTCACGGGCTTGCAACACTGCTGTTGGGTATAAGCCAAAAGGTGCAGCCGCACACCGTCATGCACTCAAATACACCACGAGAAGAAGAAAAAAAACACTCACAAAGACAAAGAGTAACACACAAGTAGAATCTAAAACTCACACACACATGCACCCCAACACACTCCCCTCTTGCTCTCTCCTCTCCGCTTTATTTACAATCCTCTGGCAGCGGTACAAGGGCCCGGGGCTATAACACACGGCACCTAATGCTCAAACTGCCAGGTAATCTCATGTCTGACATCCCCCTTTGATAGAAACTGATCAATAGACTCTTGTAAAGGAGTCATTTTCTCTGATGTTTCTACCAACCACTTCTCTCCATCGCTATCTCTCTCCCCTTCTCTCCTTTCCTCTCTCCCCCCCTCTTCTCTTGTATTAGCCATACATTTATAATTCATATTACAGCGGGGCTGAGTTTGCTCTGAGACAAAGGGGGGCTTCTTTGTGTAATAAAGAACAATGGTGGTGAAATGATGGGGAGAAATGCCAGTGTGTGCTGCTGGTTCCGGTGAACAACAGTTTTGGGGATCGATAGAGTGTGAAATGGGATTATAGCTAGTAATAGAGGTGAATTGGAGGAGAGAGGCCTGTGCACGTGTGCGTCCGGGGATCCAGCAGCACACACACACGCACGCACGCATACGCACACACATGCACGATAATGATTTCATCATCTTTAGGCAGATGCACATCAGCAGCACAGAGGGGTGGTAATATCGCATTTCTGTTTTTGTGGAAGTGTGGAAATATGGATATTGTGTTTTTGTTTATGCTGTTATTTCATTTGTTGTCAAGGAGCATCACATTTATATCACATTACGGCCAACCTAACAACGCATCTTATTTAACATGCAAGATGACACCATGAGTCATATTTGAATATTTCAAACATTCATCCCTGCTTGAATTTCATAGGTAGGTGCTAAAGAAAACAATTTAGCAGCCATTTAGAATACACTACATGCAGTTTCATCTGAATCGGATATGTTACGTAACCTCATATATAAAACGTGTTGCCTGAGCCTTTCTTTTCAGAATGATGCCACATATCAGTTTTAATTCACGTCAAATTAAGTATATAATGTACTGTAAATGTTACACCGTCTACATCAATATATGAACTGCACACTGGCTTTCTCTTGCTCCATGTGTAGTTTAAAAAGTGTTACTATTTTTAAGAAAGGGAATATCTAGTAAAGTAAGAGTCATACAGAAAATGCGAGTGACATTGAATTTGACACATACAGTCATATGCCACTTTTAAGGACTTTCTTTCCTCTCCTTTTTAATCACCCTCTTCTCCTTCCCCGTCTCTCCTGCCACAGTCTGATTGAATCCAGCTGCCTTCAGCCGCTTCAATCATCCACATGACACTCCTCCTCCTATCCTCTGTTTCTTTCCTCCTTTGACATTCCCTCCATCCGGCCACAGAGACCTTTTAATATAATATCCATCATTTTCCCAGCTACAGTTATGTTTACGCCCAGTTTACTGTAGCATTCATGCAACATGTCAGCCGTTTCCCAGCAGCAAACAACTTTACAAGTGAAAACGCACTGATGGAGACCATAAAAACACGTCAATTTGGTAATCATTCTGGCAGTCAAATATTATACTCTGTAATTTGTCTTGCGAAGAAGAAGAAGAGGCACAAATATAATGGAAATCCAATTATTTGTCCCTTTTCCAGTTAACGGAACATAAAATATTGAAACAAAGTCAAATGTGGTTTTGATGGAAATTCACTTCGTTATTTATCTCATTATTCTTAGTGTATACCTCTGAGTTGTTGACCATATAATCTGAATTTGAACCGGTTTATTTTCATACTCTTCCACACCCTAAACCATATCTACTGTTATCAAGCAACAAAAAGAATCATCACCACTCAAGGTGCCTTTTTCACAATACAAATAAAGAGCCTGGACAAGGGCTTCATGTTAATAAAAGGACCTTTTGTTCACAACAGTAATTTCTCAAGCTGACTCCTCACCCAGTCCATTCAGGCTGCAGCTATATCCAGGTAAATAATTCCCCCTTTGTTATAATAATAATCTTTATTCTTCATAAGTCATAACAATGGGCTTTACATTGCTGGATTGTATTTCCTGGAGGTAAAAGCTGAATAATATGTGGTTCTGTGTGGAGCGTGGAGTTGAGGGTTTTTGATCACAGACAAAGGCCGAGCCACACAGCGTTGTCCTTCTGTCTCTATCTTGTTAATGAGCAGTGTTCAGCGAGCAAGCCCGCCACTGTCTGCCACAGAGAGAGACCTCAGATTCATCTCTCTGCGGACAATAGGTGAATGTGTGTGTGTGTTTGTACCTCCGAGAGCCAGTGTGTATGTGCTAATTAAAGCAGGGGGAGTTGGGAGAAATGGCCCTGTGTGTGTGTATGCGAGGTGTTTGCCTGGCGTGACCGTGGATGTGTACGTTAATTCTTAATGAGACATTTCTGTGCCCAGTGAGACCCAGCCATCACCATTCCTGCACTGACACACTACTACAAAGGCCACCATCGCACACACACACATAAACCAGATCATTACCATACCGCTAAAGCAGTGTGCCATTAAATCAAACCTCTATCTCCTGGTGTGTGTGTGTGTGTGTGAGGGTGTTTGTGTTTGAGATAACATTGCGTGCACGTGCAGACAGTCAGGAACTGAATCACCACACTGCTGCACCACTGCTGGCTAATTTGAGCTAACAGATCGAGCTAACAGATCAAGCTAACAGCAGTGGAGCTGGTTCAAATCAAAAGGCAGGGCTCATTGTACAGTATACGTTATTTTAAAATGCTTAAGGATGTGCCAAGATTGTTGTTATAGAGCATTATAAATAGGAATGATGGGTTTAAAGTATTATTTTAGAGAGCTATAAGCAAATTATAACAACAAATAAGCTATATATAATGCATTAGAGGGTCACAGAATGTGTTGTCAAAATGTCTCTATATGCATCTACACTTTAAGAGTATGTTATTTGTTGTTGGATAAACAGACAGATGGGTGGATACATGATATTTGCATTGCCTGATTGCTACCTGTCACTTGCTGCTTGCTGCGTAGCTCCTCCATTTCTCGGCTCAACTGTCTGACACAAGCGCTTAGACTCTGTTTCTCTCCGATGGCGCTCCTCCTCTTCTCCTCCTCCTTCAGTATCTCGTCCCGAAGCCTCTGCGCCTCCTCTCTCTGAACCTCCACCTCTCGTCTGGCCTCCTTCAGCTCCTCCTCTGACTGTCTGAGAAGTGCCACATGTACCTGCAGCGGGAGTAAAGGACCAAGAGGAGTAGTGAATAAGTGACTGAGTTTTTAAGCACACACTCAAGCAGCTTTTGTGGCCCTGTTCAGATCAAGCATCTCGCTGGATTTTGTCTAGGAGGCACTTCACACTTGACGTAAAAGGAGGCGAAAATGTGAATTGAGTGGCGACTTATTCTTAGATTTTTCCTTCCATACCTACATCTGCTGTTATCCATGGGCAACCTTGAGTGAAACTTTAAAATACAAATTACGTTTTCACCTTGATCATAGAGCTTGAGAAGGTGGTGGACATTTGGTAGCAGATGCTTACTTTAAAATAATATGCGAGCCTTTTGGCAAATCAATTGTGCTTGGAAGGGTCATGCTGTAGTAAACTTCGAAAGCTTCAGAAGTCCTTCACAGGAGTTCTTCGTACACTTATGTTCCAACACCACATACTGTACGGTATGAAGAGGTGAGTTTAAACACATATGTATTGAAAGTAACATGTAGCTAGTTGCATTTATATATACAGTCTATGGTTGCATGTAATGGCATTGTGTATTTAAATGTAGTTGTGTTTGGGTTATATGTGAACATATCTCGGTTAAAAAGCTTATATATCGAATATAAATATGTTCTGTTCCATCTTTTTAAGTCACTGTTGTGAAGTTTACTGTGGCGACTGTGGCTGTGAGGGAGTGTGGTCGTCTTTCAACCAGAAGGTTGTGGGTTCGATCCCAGCCCATGCAGTCAACATGTCGATGTATCCTTGAGCAAGATACTTAACCCTGAGTTGCTCCCGATGGCCAACGGTGTGTGAATGTGTGTGAATGTTAGGTCCTAGAGTAAGGTACACTGCTCTGTATGAATGGGTGTGAATGGGTGAATGACATGTAGTATGTAAAGCGCTTTGAGGGGTCTTAAAGACTGGATAAAGCGCTATATACAGTAAGTACAGTCCATTTACACTGAATGGTTTAAATGTATGTTTTTAGGGACTTTTTTGCTTTATTTTGCTTTTTTAGAAAAGTAATTAAATGCACAAAGTTACAATAGTTCATAGAAATTAAAGTCCTAACTTTATTCAATACATTTTAACAAGTTCTCTTTAGCCTTTACATGTATCCTCCCACGACACACTCACTGTGATGTGTCTCAGCTATTAGGGCTGGATGAATGACCACCACCTATTAGCAAGTTGCTAATGGGTGTGTGTGTGTGTGTGTGTGTGTGTGTGTGTGTGTGTGTGTGTGAGAATTAATGTGTGTGCATACATATGATTTTGTAAGCATGACATGTCTATCACTTGTATGTGCCAGAGGACGCATAATTAATGTGTAAAATCAAATGCTCCCACTTGCACCTACGCATCAAGACCCCCCACACACACACACACACACACACACACACACACACACACACACACACACACACACACACACACACACACACACACACACACACACACACACACAGTGATGTGACTGCCAGCCATGTTGGCACTCTGCCAGGCTACAGTCACCACATTGAGTCATTTGAATATTTAGTGTCCCATTGAGCTCTTAATTGGAGTCAATTTCACCAGCCTTGGCACGTTTGGTGCTTTAATTAATGGCGAAGCAATTTGTTTGCCAGGCTATCACGGGACAATCACATGAGTGGTGGGTGTGTGGAGCCCGTGAAGGTGGGTTGAGTACTTCCTCTTTGGGAACTTGAACTGAATCTCCAGCTTGTGTTCCTAGCCTGAGATGCCAACCATTTCAAACTGTGGATAGGGTTTGTAACACAATAGCAAAGGGGGAAAAAAGTTCAGATTACAACAGGCTATGTCAGGTCAAAATACATATCATACTTGACTTGAATACCTTTTGGGTGTCAGCCAGCTCAAGCTCTACGCGTGTCACTTCATTTTTCAGATGAATCGCTTCCTGTTCCAGCTGGCTGCGATCGATCACGTGAGTATGGTGGGACGCGAGAAGACTTCTCTTCAGACAGACTTTATCCTGAGCTCTTTGGGGAGAAGAGCAAAGAAGAATGACTGCCTTGTAAGGAATGCAAAGCAGCAGTGAAAGAGCAAAATGTAACCAGATAACAGATTAGCTAAATTAAAAGAAAATGATTTGACTAGATTATGTTAAATTGTCCATGTGACATATAGTGTGCTACTGTGCACCATTTGGCAAGCAGACTGTTAAGAGAATGAGAGAGGGGAGGGGAGGCAGATGGGAAGGGCATGAGAGGAGAGACAAGGACAGGAAGGGAGATCAGCAGAGGAGAATGAGAGTTTTATAGACTCAGTTATTACTGTCTCTCCAGCTCTGACTTCATCTGAAGAATAGCCTTTTCACACCGCGCAAGGCTCTCAACCTGCTCCGTGCAGCGCTGTAAAACACAAAGAATGAAACAAGTGGTTGCTGGAATGGAGCTTCATTTTCTTTCATGTAAATCTGAAATTCACTTTATGTCAAACTCTGTTTTCATATGTATCTACATGAGACAAAGGGCATTTCATATCCAACTACTTTAACTGGATATATTCTTGTGGTTAAAAATATCCACCTCTGTAATGTGTGTACAGTAACATGTGTGACCTCACCTTCTGTAGCTGCTGATGGTGTTTTAGTTGGTGAACGTACTCCTCGTCCGAATGGGAATGACTCTGTTGAAAAAGCTTTAGGTCACACTCCAACATCAGTTTCTATGAAAAAGTGAAGGTAGAGAAAAATGAGAAAAATAACAGAAAAAAAACGACTTAAAATCAAACAATGTCAATAAAACTGACAAAGTAAAATGGCTAAATATATGAAACTATAAAAACTGATGGCTTACAGGGGATAAGGAATTATTATAGTAAAAGAACATATGTGATTAAAATACTTGTATTTCTGGTAGGATGTATTTATAATTTAGATCCCCAGATCCACAAAGTGGTTGTTCATCTTTTACTTTTGGTCCACTAAAATAACTACTTAAAATCAAACATTTCAATAGCACCATAAACGTCAAAACAAACCAAATGTTAAATGGCTCTACATGTGAAAAAATAAAAACTGCTGGCCTATAATATAAACAATAACAAAAGTATTGCAAATTCAAATCAACAAAATAATCAAACTAATAGTAAAAACAATCACAAATAATCTAAAACAACAATAACCAGTTAGATTATAGTCAATCAAACACTAAAAATGCAACCGACAAAAGGAAAACAAAAACTAATTTAAAAAAGAAACAAAGGTGACACCTAAAAAAATCTAAGTCACAAAAGAGTGCATTTGTAATGAACTGCATTTCAACAGATTATATGCATCTGGGTTCGCTAATAAACAACAATGACACTGATGTGCCTCTAAGGAAACACATCATTATGTATAACACTCATTTGTGAATTGATTTGTTGCATCGCAGAGCACAGAGACACATGGCCTTGATGTTCCCAACACAGCTGACACAGACTCCAACAGAGCAAGCATAACATTAACAAGTGGCTCTAGTGTGAGAATCTACAATAAGAAAAGCAGCTTAAGATCTTAGCAATGTTCTTTTTATCAAAAAGAATATCTCCTCGGGGAAAAAGGACCCTGTATCTCATTGTGATTTCTGAACACTAAACTCAATCTTAGTCTATTAACTACTGTCCTTTATATTAGCACTTTATGTAACTAATTCAAAAGTAGACATCGTAATAGGAAAGTAGAGAAATTCCACTTTCCTATAGTATTCATCCAGACGCTATAGTGAAATATCCCCTGGTCTGAATACAAATGGATAGAAAAGAGATGGCATTAAGATACTATATTCTAGCTACTGAGTAAGTCCTTCCATTTGAGCTCAAACAAAACAAGCCATAAATTGAACATTGATTTTATACCTTTTTTATTTTTTCAATAAAACTCTTTCTTGTAAACAGGGAACAGTGATTTTAGGGTTAGCTGAGCCCAGAGAGGCACGAGGTTGAGAATTAGCAGGATGTGAAGCTCCATAAGAACTCCTAACCTCTTGATAGGCGCCTCACAATCAAAGTCATTAGCCAGTGTAATAAAGGGCCTGAGATACAGCCATTCTTCAACAGCCTAACTCTTTTATAACCAACAGATTAAAGTTGATTGGATTAAAATGACATTCTGCCCGTCTGACCTTGGCGGCAGCAGTTAAGTTCATCCAAATTAAATTTCTCCGTAATAAAGATGATTCATTTGTTGCTTGACGTAGTAAATATAAAACAGAAAGAAAAGGGAGAAAAGATTAAGTGACACACGTCAGTGCACACAAACACACACACTTGAGTGCAATGACACATGCACACAAAGGCCCATGCATGTCCTCACACAACATGATGGAGCTGGCAAGCCCCTGGAGGCTCACACAAGAACACAAAGACCCCCGTTTGGACTTCACCAAAACACTGGTACACATTATCAAAATCCTCCTTTAGAGAACTCACAGGAAAACTACTTCCTTCAAGAAAACACAAACAACCCGATGTTGAAAAAGATCATTTAGAAAGGTATAAAATGTAAAAACTAACTTGTATGCACCAAAAACACTTTTTACAGTGTAGTATGATTGTTTCTGAAGAACCTTGAAATTGGCAGAATTTCATAAATCATAACGTGCTTTATAGGAACATCATTTACAAGATTTGACATCCTGCTGGAATGAAGAAGGCCTGTTACGAACCCACTAGGGATGAGGAAGGCAACACACACCAGATGGTTTTGGTAATTAATTATATTAGGGTTCAATGAAATAACAAAAACGTAGAAGTAGGCTAATTATTTCATAGACTTCTCTACAATTGCATTGGCTTTATTTTTCAGACCATAACTATGTATGTTTTTAAGATTTAGACAATTTAATAGCCATCAAATCACTATTAAAGTCTTTCAACCTCCATACCAAAAGAGTACATTGCCTGTGTTATGTTGCATCTGGCACATGCTACTGTAATGTGCACGTTGTCCTCACCTGCTGTTTGAGTGCCTCTGTTTGCTCCTGCAGGGATCCAATCAGGCCTTTTAGATGGTCCTCTTTTTGTTGACTCTCCCTCAGTAGATGCTGATTGGCCTGGAGCTCATCTGTCAGCTGGTCCAGAGCCTCCAGCGAGTTCTCCCATTGGTTGACCTTCTCCTGGTACCGCTGCGCCATCTCGGCTAGCTCCTCTCTCACTGAATCAGTTGCCAATTTGGAATCTCTTAGCTGCCAATTAACCAAAGTGAACGGCAGAATGTTACACTGGACTGAAGACATGTTACACAAAGATGGTAGCCAATGTATGAATAGGTATAACTGGATGAAATGTTTATAGAGGATCAAAATGCAACATAAGTAATATCATGTATAGGAAAAATAAAGGAAAAAAAATGTGATTTTTTTTAATTAATTTTTTTAATTAAATAATACATCTGATTTGTACGGTATTTTAGTAGGATAGTAGTATTTTAAAATGTCAACAATATAATAATCAGACCCTGCAATAGAATAAATCAAGTTTCACTTTAGTTTTTCAAGTAACTCAACTCTAACTCACTCACTCACTCACTCAGCATCATCAAGGTTATCTTTTAGGAATATGAGCATGTCCACATTTCCAGGTAGAAGCTGGGATGTTTGGGCGTTTACAATATCCCCTGCTGTGGAAAAAACTCTCTTGCTTGGTACTGATGTTGCTGGGACAGAGAGATATGCTTTGGCCATGGGTGACAGCAGTGGGTCAAACTGTGCATTGTCTCTCCACCACTTCAAAAACAATACAGTCTTTGCTAAGAAGGTGAGGCTTATTGACAGGGCGAGATATAAATATACTGTTAGTACTTCTCAATGTCTCTAGGTATGTACATGTAGCCCTGTAAATACCATGTCCTTTTGTGTTATCTGTTGTTTTATGTTCATGTTGTAACCTACTTGCTGCCATGTTGGACAGGTCTCCCTTGAAAAAGAGATCGATGATCTCAATGGGACCATCTGGTTAAATAAAGTTGTTTTTTTTAAATGTTTATAAAAAATAAATAAATAAAAAAATGTTTTGTCAGTCTCACGACGGTATTGAGACATCTATTTACCGCGATATCGCGATATTCAATATATCGTTACATCCCAGTATTACTGTGAACTATTACATCACATGTTACTTGTTAGACGCTTTTATCCAAAGCGACTTACATACTCAATAATGTGGGCGATCCCCACAGGAGCAATTTGAGGTGAAGTGTCTCAGGGACACAACGACATGCTGACTGCAGTGGGGTTTGAACCTGTGACCCCCTGATCCGAACGCCAAGGCTCTATCCACTGCGCCACACGCCTCCAACTATGATCTACCTGGTGCTGTGAATACTGTAGTTCCTCTTCCAAAGGCTCCACCTGCCCTTGCACCCGATGCACCTTCTCCATTGCTGCGGTGTACTTTTGTCTAAAAATGGCTGCCGTTTCTTTCTGCTCCTGGGCTTGTAAACTGGCATCTTTCAGCTGCTCGTGAAGAAGTTCAGTCTCAACCTCCTGCTTCTTCAGCTTCCCTTCGAATGTCTCGACCTGGAAGCAAACACAGGGAAATGAAGCACACATATTTATGAGAATAAACCTTTGCGCTTATATTTGAAAAAGGAGACCAGCATCTTGACCCCCTTCATGTATAGGTGCTCTTGAGAGAATGTACTGAACCGCTGCCAAATGTGGAGTTACTGATCATTTGTGTTGCAATGAAAAAAAGGCAGGAGGACGCTTTAATGCTTGCACAAATCAGGAGGCTAAATCCAACATCCATCATCATCATCATCATCATCATCATCCAAACATGTTGATTTATAGTGATTAAATGCTGCTGAAAAAAAAGTAAATAGGTGAATGCTAGTTTGTCTAACATTGCGCAATATTCTGTGCTACCCTACAGTAACCTCGCTCATAATGACAGGGAAACCGAGGAAGTGAAACCAGGCTTAATCCCGGTGTTACACAAGGAATCCTACCGTAGCTCACCTTGAAGGGGGAGAGGTTGAGAAAGTTAAACCCGCTCTAACACTCATCTTGAGTTCATCCACGTTAATCCCGCTGTAATCTGGATCAGAACATCAGGGGTTTACTACTAATGACAGCCAACTAGTTAGATTTCAGCGGTTCACCGCGGCTCGGTTTAACCAGGGATTAGCCGGGCCCATCCAGGACTAACGCTGGGTGGAAAGCAGCGTGACTGGGTAGGAAAGTTGCTCATGCAAAAGAAAGAAACACAAACCAGAGAAGAGGATGGAGGGGCACCGCCAACTTTTACTCTCCACTTCAGAGTGAAAAACTGAAGAACCTGTGTAGGTGTACGAGCGTGTGTGGACTGTTTAAAACTCTTGACTCAGCCCATGTACACTCGACTTTTTTCAAGCGTGTTGGCGAATGTTTTAACCAAGGTTACCCAAGGTAAATTTAAAATAACACAAGAGAACTTCAGGTAAGGGGTCATATGCCAATTTTACCCATCATAGCCGTTGCTTTTCGTGGTGTTTCTTTCCCTTTTAAGTATTCTTTACTAAAGTTCAAACACTGCTGGCAGATTTAGCATTTCATTTCTGCTGCTGGATGAAAGGCCTCGTAACAAGGCTTAATGGGAACACCATGGCTTTCTTGTGACCATAATCAGGAGCTTGTGATTTGTAGAAACAAACAGCCTTCATTAAATATGATGGAAAACACATCGCTTTGACCCTCATTTGGCCTGCCATTTGAGCATTCATGGCTGTCACATGACTTCCCAAGACAACCCACGTTTCATAATAACTCCATTCTAATCTCTTTTTTTTATATCTCAGTCTTTCTTCCTCTCTCTGTGTATATGTTGTGTCCAATTGGATGTGATAGGTTGACAAACAGAGGGCTCATGTTGTCTTGTTTGGTAGTTCAGATGATGTACGTTGGGATAAATGTGAGCTGACTGCAAAACAAAGCTTGTCTGTTGTAAACGGGTCAGTTTGTTGTTCTTGGAATGGCAAAAGACTACTGGATCGTCGACTGTGATTTAGATCACTCGCAGTCAGACATAAGTGTATGCCATTGCTCTTTTTTTGTTGGATTAACACCATGGATTGTTCTGCTGTAGGATCATGGCTCCATTGATTGACAAGTGAACCCAGAAGAGAGTTCTCTGCGCCTACGTGCTGCTGACTTCCTTCAGCTTCTTGACCTTCTGCTGCTCTGTGTTTGGCTGATCTCAGAGCTGTGAAGCTCGACACTCCTCTGGCTCCGGTGTTTTGTAACAATCTCATGAGTCTGTTTCACAGCTTCCGAGTCAGAGTTCAACTGATCTATAGATCCCGCTGTAGGGAAGGTGGAGATGAGCGGAGGTGAAGAGGAGAGGAGAGAATCCTTCCTTACCTGTTGCTGACCATCATGCAGCTGTTCATGTCGCTGCTGCTGTTCTTTCTCCTTTTGGTCTACGAGGTGCTCGATGTCCCTGACCTTTTCGATTAACTGGAACTTCTCTTCATGGTGTCCTCTGACCTTGTGTTTCAAGTGTCTAACCTCACCCTCCAGCGCTGCCACCTAAGCACACGAAGGAGAGGATGGAAATGAAATGTAGGCATACAAACACACACAGACAGACAGAAAAGACAGCGAGGGGGCGGCAGCCGCCTAAAAGTGAGGGCTTGAGTCAGAGAGTTTCCCAGTTTAGTCTCAGGACCAGTAGGGAAAATGCGGGCACGGCAGACATGAATGAGTAACGATTCCCCTTTTCCTTAGCCGCAACTTTCGAGGAGCCTTTGAGCAAAGTGCTACGCCTCCCACTGCTCTAATGGAGCTGCTCGGTAGCAAACTGTAGAAGACTGATGCTGGTTTGGGCACTTCCCTTGAGTCGATGTGTGCAAGTCTGTGGGTGTAAAACAGGTCATTGTTGGATAAAAAAACCACAGGGGTGCTCGCTCAACCTAGCCTCAGCATATGAAAGGAAAAACAAAAAAATAATAAGACAGGTTTAAACCCTTGTAGTACTACCTAGAATGGAATATAGGCCCTGAGACACATTTAAAACCCAATAGTGGAAACAAATCCAACATATTTTCCCTGTAACACTGTGGAAAGATGATAAGTTACCCTTAAAAAGACAGGTGAGCTTTTAAAATGTCAACAATTGTGGAAAATCTGCCAACATTTCTATAGTATATGCTAAAGATACACTCTCTAATCAGAAAGCACATAGTTCGGAATTATGTGATTTCTTGTAAACTATGCAAATGAGAAATGGCACAACCTAAAATGTTACCCATCAAATCGCAAACCAGATACAAGGAAAGAAAGCCTTTCTAGACCTGATGATGAAAATACTTATAAATGATTGGAAAAGTGCAAATGTACACGAAAGTCCACCACACCTGTTCCTGTTCCCTCTGATGTTTCTGTTCAGCTGTCTTCATTTCAGCTCTTAGCTGCAGAATGAACTGATCTCTACTTCGAACCTGAACACACGGAGAATATACTTCAGTAATTGCACATGTTAGAATTATAGCCCATCATGTTATATTTATTTCATGACCACCATAGCTCTGACACACACACACACACACACACACACACACACACACACACACACACACACACACACACACACACACACACACACACACACACACACACCTCCAGGTGTGAGGTGTTGATCTTCTCGTGGCTCAGAGCCAAGTCAGCCTCCAGTCTCTCTTTGGTCTGGTGGAGGTGGACACACTCTCTGCTCCGGTCCTCCATCTTGGCTCTCAGCTCTTCCCTGCACAGTTCCTCTAAAGCCTTATCTTTCTGGAGCAACTGGGAAATATGCAATAAAATGGAGCCACTCGATCCGTCATAAAGTACTTTACATCACCCACATTAAGAACAGGGAAAAAAAGAGTCTCTTTATATTTAAACGATAATATTTCTAGGATCACATAACCCACTCATCATTGTCTAATGGGCACACAGAAAAAGCCTAATTAAATTGATTTGATTAGAATGATCAAATAAAAATGATAGTTACTATTAATTTGATAGTTGAATCAACAATCATTCTTTTAACACAGTTAACATTAATATGAACCACGAGCATTGAAATTTCAATCAGCTTTGTGAATAATGAAGCCGTTGTTTTTACCTCTTCCTGACATTCAGAGAGCTGCTTCGCCAGCGCGCACGTCTTCATCTCCCTCTTCTGAATCTGCCAAACAAAACACATTTCTCATGGTTTAAGCTTTGTGGACAACGCTTTTTTTAAATTTTAAATAGCACAACACTGAGGCTCCTTTTGAGGGAATTGTGTATGCTATCTCCGTGTCCATTGGCAAACGGTACCTCTGGAAGCAGGCCAAATTATGACACTGTTTACAAAACTGGAGATAAAATATTGCAGTCTAGTTTTCATATTTGTGTTTGAGGTAAGGGTGGTGGTGGGTGGATGAGGCTACATGCTGAGAATCGGCTGTTTATGCTTCTCTTGAGTATACAGCATTTGTTTGACGATTGCTTGTGTTTGTCTGTTTCCTTGGTGACCTTCCCTAATTACCCACTTCAGCTGTGTGTGCGTGTGTGTGTGTGTGTGTGTGTGTGTGTGTGTGTGTGTGTGTGTGTGTGTGTGTGTGTGTGTGTGTGTGTGTGTGCCGTTGCATTTGATGTGGGTGTAATCCCTCACAAGTTTGCAGGGGAAATCATTTGGACTTTTTTCTGCCAGTGTTCTCTGGGTCTGGATTTTTTTTTTTTTTATAGTTTTCCTCAGTTTGAGGTCAGTAAAAAGGACCAGGCATCCATCTATTTTCTCTATTTTGAGCCAAATAGGTTCCTAATGTGTTTCGGGGATTTTTTTGTAAGCACTTATTTCTGTCTGACTACATTTTTTGCTAAGATGCTACGGCTTTCATTTAAGCTTTCAGAGGTTAAAACCAGGAAATCTCTTAAAAAAAGAGGACCCACAATGTGTGGACCCAGGGCGAAGGAATGCTTGAATACATTTTTTGTGAATACTGAATAACATCGGGATTGGAACACAACATTGTCTCACTCAAAAGACATAATTCATGTTAGGATCAACTTGAAGATATTAATGAAGAAATATTACTTTTCAATCTACTTTGCACAGCACATCTTAAGTGTTATACAAATGTGATGCATTTCCTTTGTTTTTATACATTATTCTGTTTATACACACAGTTGTTCATACCAAACTGAGTCAACCCCCCACCTCGCCCCACACTCCCCTTTCTCCCCCCCTCTCACCCCTCTGTCCTGCATGATCCAGGGATTGTTTTGACCAGAGTTGAGGGCTCGTTTGTAACTGTCCTGGGGGATTGATGGAGTTAACTTGGCTCTTTGACCTCTCACCTCTGGCTGTCAGCAGCCCGGCTCGCTAAACACACTAAACCTGAGCTACGGCAAGGGGAAGGGGAAAAAAAACCTGCAAACACACTGCCATGCACGTAGCGGCTAAATCACAACTGAGTGCTCATGTAAACACACACTCGTTCAAAAAGGTAGTCCCCTGAACAGGAATAATTTAGGCAGTGTGTTCCATTCAGTGGAAATCAGATGGAAAGGAATGCATTTACACAAACTAAATAATGACCAGAACTTTTATTCAACCCTAAAAATATAAGGCACTTACCCGAAGAAAACACCAGCAATTTTTAAATCTTAGCATGATTTATCTTTGAGTGTGTCTCTGCATGTGTGTGTGAATTCCCAATGAGAGTGTGATAGACAAAATGAATGCTGATAAACACCAGCGTACGTCGTGTCAAAACAGACAACTTGTCAAAACGACATGCTAACTAGGTCAATCACAAAGTTTAAGGAGAAACTTTGGAGTGGAGCTTTGGTTTATGCATATCTCTACGTGGATGTCTCCGCCGTGTGATAAGCTTCTGAACGAATCTGCGGGAGGGGACCTCCAATATCGAAGGTATTTTTAAATCAATGAGCTCTTAAGTGTATCTCAGTCTCAATGTGTTCACACATTGGCACGCACACAACACTCGGCGCAGACAGAATCCCTACTGACAGGCAATGACAAGATAAAGAGAGGGAGAAATAAGGGGGGAGAGGACGACAGGAGGGGGAGAAATAATATTTGAACAGTCGGAGGTGGGGGGGTGGTGACGGGGGATGAAAGGGAGAAGTGGCAAGGCAAGAAAAGAAATGAGCAATAAGAGACATCAAGAGGGAAAGCAGGGAAAGAGAGACAAGCCATTGTGATGGTTGTAAAACATTGTGAGTGGGACCAATGTTTGTCCAACCTCGAAGGCTTCGGCAACCTTCCACTGTACATCTCTCTCTGCCTCCTCACAGTTTTGTTTGCTTCATGCCCTCAGCCACCCTTTGCCAAGTTGAAATCATTTGGATTCGTATATATAATGTGCTTTATAGAGGAACTACGAGTGCATACTTTTCAAACCCCCGTAGGGACAGAGGGAGACACACTGTGCTGGAGTGTTAACAGTAAATAAAATGATTGGACATCAGACACTGAACTAACATTCACAGATCTTGTTTTCATGCTGCATCTTATCTTAAGCACATAGAATTGAAAATGAGCAACACAACAAGCTCTCACAAAATGGAACAGCAAAAGCTTTTCTCCCCTTCTCTTTTGCTTTGAAAACATCTTCATGCAGATTTGAATTATCGATCTGCCCCCGAATCAAACATTGGTTAATTGATTGTGCTGGGTCCGAGTGAACCATCACTTGTAAAGTCCTTAACCTTCAAATGACAAAACTATTCTGGCTAAATAAATAAAAATGAATGGCAACAATAATAACTCCTGACCAGAGATCAGTCTGTTATTTATTAAAATCTCAACCCATTGGCTATCTCCCCTTATCTGAGTGTCCCTTCCTCCCTACATCCTGCAACCTCCCCTTTCCAAGTTTCTCACACTAAATCCATCCATACATCTCCCTCTATCCCTCCTTCCCCCTCCTCCTGTATACATTTACGAGCTGCACATTTAAAAGAGAAGCCTCCAGAGAACCGTGCAACTAAGAGACTTTAGGTTTTCTGAGATGAAGCGGATCATCTCGGAGACAAAGCCCCTCGTCATGTTAATGGCTTCACTTCTTTCAAGGTCCACAATGGGGGAGTTTGGAACAGTTTAACCACATGTTAAAACTACGGCAACATGTGGCCATTGCATGACCACATAGTGTGTGAAGTTACAGAGGAATAGAGATGGAGAACTTGTAAAAAGACACAGATAAATGACGAATAAAGGGATTAAGAAGATATAAGAATGTGTCAAATTGTTCCTTTTCTAACTAATGGACTGTACACGCTCTGATTATCAAATTCCATGTTTGGTCAAGTGTGTTTTTTTTTTTATGATCCAATCCCGAGAGCCATCAATGATAACGAAGAGAAAAAGAAATATAGAAACATTTTTGCACTGATTTCTAAAATGCCCTTGAATTCAAGTAAGACCAATGCTTCCTCCTTCCTACTTCAAACCCACTCTACTTTTCAAGCAGTTTCATTGAATTTGATGTAAAAACTCAAATGAAAAGTGGACTAGTCTCCAGAAAAAGCAAACTGCTTTCCCATTCTTCCTCCTAAGTGAGAGCGGGAGAGAATGAGCAGAGCACATTTCACATGAAGAGAGGGTGTTGACAGTATTTGTTCAGCTGTGCTAATGTGACATTTAGCGCTGCAGAGGAAAATACTTAGCACAAAAGTTCTCTCAGCTTCACTTACAGTAGATTCAAGAGGGAGCAGCACACTCTCTTTCTACCACTGTCCGTACAAAAATGGAGTGAAATGTACGTACGTGTGTGCGTGTGCGTGTGCGTGTGGTGTGTGCGTGCGTGCGTGCGTGTGTGTTTGTGTGTTTGTGGGTGTGTGTGTGTGTGTGTGTGTGAGAGCGAGCTTGTAATAGATCAGAGAAGGAGCATTGTGGTGCATAAAGCAGGGCCAGATGTGGAGCAGAAACCAGATCCCTGGACAGAGTGTAATGGTCCATCTGATGGCTTAAGCAATCCAAACATGAAACACACAACTTCACACACACAAATACAGTACACGTGCATGCATACATAAAGTATAGCTAATTATATACCATGTACAACACAAGGATAAATAAGGATTTGACCAATATTGCATGGTTGTACAGTAGCCTTGTGAAATCTTAATGCTCCTATTCTGCAGGATAATTACATTTCACTACATCAGAGGTCAAAAATATGCTCTAAAATGTTTAATTAAAATATGTTACTTTATCAAAGCCAATTTGCTGTCATATAACATGAGCAACAAAGGATGTAGGTCTTATAAATGAGCACGCTATAAACTGTGAGACTGCTGTAACAATAGCCTCAGTGAAAGCCAACTAAATCCTGACCCTTACCCTAACCGCAGAAATATTCTGAATTGAAGTCAGTGAACTGCATGAACTGTATCTTGTGTGCTGCTTTTCTTTAACAAATCCAAGCCCTTAAAATTCACAGATGGCTTAGTGAAAAATATCTTTCCAACCTGGTTATTTGAAGGTTAAATTAAAAACCACTGAGCGCTAACATATGCTTTGGGTATATCACAAAAAGGGCAGAGCATAAAAAAAGTCTAACAAGCGATAAACCATATGCGATGTTTGAGTAAGTCCTAGCTTGGGAAAATAATCTCATTTCTGCAGAACAATCCAAATGTATGACAAGTTCGTCAAAAGTGTGTTTTTAATAAGGCTCTAAATATCAGAACATCCCATTACACATTATCTCAAACCTTATTATCAGCAGCATTGTAGGAATAGACAATGCCTGTCACAGTGAATATTACATTTGAAAATTGAATATTTAAATGAATCCGTCACCTGCACGACCCTTCTTATCAGCCCCATTGTGGGGAAAGACAATGCATTACATTAAAGTGAATATTATATTTCATCTCCATGCTGTGGAATATTTCTGTTTAACCATTTCTTCCTGACATTGTCCACTCTGTGAAGAGAATGTTTCTTGACCTTGTGAGGAAACGAACTTGCTGATAATGTAACGGTGTCAACAATACATGGCTGAAAACAGGGAAGTCGAATGTGCTCGTCTGAAACTAAAATACGTTGATTTAGTTTAATATTTGAATGAAGACCTTTCGGTAGAAACCAATTACCTTCTTTTCAGCCGTGTGACGTGCATGTGTTAGCTCCTGCTGCAGATGCTTCCTCGCTTTGTTGGCATGGTGCAACTGCTCTTGGATCTGCTGTTGTTCCGTGTCCAGACTCTTCCTGGTTTGATCCAGGGTTTCACTTGTCGTTTGTAACTGAAGGGAAGAAAGATGAAGAATAAGTACTGTACGTGTGTGTGCTTCTAACCTCCTCCAAACGCAGTGAGAGGGACAGTTAGTTGTAGTGAGAGCTGAGGCAGAGAGGCACACAAAGAGAATAATGGACAACGGTTACAAGATACAAGCAGCAGAAGGACATGATGGTGTAATTTCGGGGAAGTTTGTCATCCTTCTGTCTCCATAGCGGTGAAAGGCACATCATAAAGGCTTTGTGCCAGGCAGGGGAACCTTACAGCTACCGCTTTGACTCAAGACCAATAAAACAACTTGACTACAGATCATAAAGTCGTAGGACACAAACTGTAGAGAATCTTAAACCTTAGGACAAGACACGCTGAGAGCAGGGGTCCTTTTTCCTTTGAGCTCCACATCAGAGAAGAGAAACACTATGCTATTGTTAGCATTGGTCTTTGGAAAGAACCACATTTCTTTAAACCACCTGCACTACAATTAAATAATGCTGCTAATCCTATGTACACTCCCCTTGCTTTTTAGCTTGAGTCATACTTTTAAAACACACCTGCATACAAGATATTAGCACAAATGAGTAGTATGCCTGAGACTTCTTTGTGCTTTAAGTAATAATGTTTTAGACAGATAGGCATATATGTTGGAGGTAATAGCCATACAACATTATAAATGAGACTTTTATAATACCCATTTAATTTAATTCATATGGAATCTTGTTTGATTTTGTATTCTTCATTCACTGTCAAGGTTTGCAAGAAAAAGAAGAAGCCAAGGTAACGCAGCATGAGTACTTGATATTCCACATTTTCTCGTTGAATTATCCCTTTAATTTTGAAATTTGTCACTCCTTGTATAGTCAGAATAATATGGACTCATATACACACGCATTAGATCCGTAAAAGATCATGGAAACCAATGTACTACACTCACACCTGTGACAGAGTATTCAAGGTGAGCTCAAGTACTTGAAGAAAATAGAATAAAATTCTTGCATTCAATCTGCTTGCCTCCTCCAGAATACATCAATGAGTGATGAGTGAGGTAACAGGGAAATTAATTTAGTGTTAGAAAAGTAAAGGCATAGAGTCGGCATCTAAGAGAGTCTTTCAAGTGTTCTCTAAGTCCAGTAACACGCTTTATGTTGAATATACTTTATTTAGTTGGCTGCCGGGCACCCGCAACTCTGAAACACTGGCAGATGAATGACTTAGCTTGGTCAAGGACACAGTAAATGGGTTCATTTAAGCTTAAAACACATCACCGCCACGCTGGGTGCTGATATACCTAGAGGGGTGAGAGAAGGAGGAAAATAAGGAGAAAGAAATACAGTGAGACTGAGAGAGGGAGGAAATTATAAGAAAGAGAGGAAAAGGACAACGAGAGAAACCTAAAGGCCATTCCATTCATCATGCGTATGACTCTTTAATGTTCCCATGCATTACCATTGGTTCTCTTTGGGGCGAGGGTGAGATTGGACAAGGGAGATGAGATAGGAAGGACAAGAAAGCAAGGAAGAATAAAATAAAGATAAAAGACAAAAGAAATAAACCAAAACATTTAACCCATCCTCCACTCTCTCTGCTAAGTGATATTCACACGAACATGGTTCTTTATTGTACAACCCTCTGCGGAGCTAAGATGGTGGCGATGAGTTATTAAATATGGAGAGAGGGCGAGAGGGGGAAGGCGGAGGACGGGGGGGGGGGAAGAAGGACGGATGATTAACTGTGAAGGAAGTAAAAAATGAGGAGAATTCCCCCTTGTACCTGACTGGATTTGATTTAGAGAAAGGTTGCCAAATTCTGTTCCTTATTTAAGAAGAGCTCCACGTGTGTGTGTGTGTGTGTGTGTGTGTGTGTGTGTGTGTGTGTGTGTGTGTGTTACCTACTTTGCTCTGCAGTGAAGACAGGCTTTCTTTGAGCTGTGTGTTGTCATGGAGCAGCTGTTGTGTGTGTTTCTCCTTCAGAGCCAAGGTTCCCTTCAGAGAGTCCTGTGTGGCTCGCAGTCCAACCACATCCTCCTCTCTCTCCTTCATCTAACACACACATAAAACAGGACAATATGTACGTATGAATATATACTACTGCTGCAGGATACCTGTCTATGTAAACCCCAAAAGTAGCATGCTTGGAAGCACCCTTTCACATTACTATGATATTCTGTCTGAGAATAAGGGATGTCGATCAAAATATGCTGATTGTGGAGAATTTACATTATCATAATAATCATGAATGTCCACAAATGAGTGACTTGAAAAGCTTAGGTAACCATCATGTTAGGGAAGGGAAAAAACATAAAATATAAAAGGAACCAACATGTAAGAAACGACAGACTCACATAATGTTGCTTTTGTTTTAATGTTGTCATCCTTTATTTGTGCAGGGGACTTTATGATTTTTGATTACCTTGTTTTATAATTGATTTGTGTGGAGCAGGGTGGACCCAAAATGCAGGAGACAGGTAGAATGAACAGAAACTACCTTTGGCTTCATGTAATCCAGCGAGAAACCGCTTCACTAAGTGTTGCACGACATACAAAGCCCTGACAAAGACTAAGAGAAAACGAGGACTTAAATACAAGCAGAACTAATGAGGGTATGCAGTGCAGGTGTGCAGGGCTGATGGGAAACAGGTGAAACTAATAAAGCCGGGAGAGAAAATCAAGCAGGAGGGAGAACACCCAGGAACTAAGAACAGACATGAAACACACTGGGTGCGTCTCACTTCGGTTATTTTTCATTTCCTCGCTCCTCGGGCTCGGTACCACCGGAAGTTGGTTTGTCTGCGCCATCTTGGTTGCGTTCGGATAGTTTAAAAATCAGCTCCTAAGTTCTAACCCTATCTCCTATTCCTTGACCTCTGAGTGAAACGTCACGGGGTTAAGGGATAGTGGATAGGAGAATTCAAAAGGACTTAGGAGGAGAGACTGCGGTACTTTAGAGAATCCGAATGCACTTTCACTATCTGACGTGTTTATGATGAGCCAGCGGACGTCATTGTCTGCGTCTGCTGCTGTGGTGAAACTATGGAAACTACAGTGTTCTATATAACGGACTAAATGGATGTTTAATAAGAACGAGGGTCTCATCTAGAGACTCTGCACCGTGCTCTGATGCTGTTGCTTTATGCTTTATGAACGACAGAGAAACATATTGAATATTCTTCATGACCAAAGTTGGAATTGAAATAAAAAATGAAAGTGAAACTTACGCTCGTCACCCTCTCCCTCCGGTCCACATTAATACAAATGATCCCAATATGTATGATTGTATAAAAATATCTTAAAATCAATACAAATGTATTTATTATAAACGTTAGTCCTTAACACCTATCACTGTGTATATCACCATTCAAACATCTTTTAAAAGTTGAACAAACCCCACACAGCTCAGTGAAATGTTGACTTTATTTGATCATTTCAGTAAAAACTAACGTTCATATTTCTCTTTTTGATTATAATACTGATGAACGTTCAAAACAAAGCACTTTGGCAACTTACCACATACGTTTTAAAATGCTTAATAAGCACCGTAACTTTCATGATATAATTTCTCCGTCATAATCGTTTGTTTCCGTGAACGGCCGACTGTCGTGTGACGCAAATGCTGTGGCTGCAAGGCATTGTGGGGCAGCATTTTCTCCTCTCCTTTCGGTAAGGGAGGTCCAGTGGTTCCTAAGCTAAAGGAGGTTATAAAGGAAGTTTGAAACCTCCTTTCCTTTCATTTGGAGAATTGGAACGGCACTTATCATGGCTGCCACTGAGGGACTTCCGGGTCATTTCACTCGGTTAGGAAGGTTCCTAAGCTAAATGGACTATTGGAACGCAACCCTTGAGTCCCGTCCCAGTGGCCTTATTTTTGCAGGAGGATCGAGGAGTGATAACGGAGGAGCGATAATCGAGGAACTACCAGACCATACTCCGGTGAAATCCTCAGACACTCGCCCCGCCCCCTTACTGTGTATCGCTCACTGATTGGACGATCAGCTGTGCGGCGTCATCACGAACGGACGTCGCTTCACGTGACCCCCCGGAGGAAACGACGTCCCATTGCTCTTAAAATTCATTTCCCTGCTTCTCGTGGTTTCCTTGCTTCCTTTCTCCCATGCTTCCCTGGTGGGTGGGAATAGTCGCAGGGAAACGACGCAAGTGAGGGACGCAAGGAATCCATTTAACCGAAGTGAGATGCAGCTAGAGTCAAATCTTCAACATAAAACAGGAAAGTAAAAACAAGGATCATGAGAATATTTGATGCAATCAAAATATGAATCATAAATACTTGTTTCACCCTACAGCGGGGACATTCACACTTTAACAGCAAATGGATAGGCTGAACAAATAATTGTGTTTCTTAATAATTCTAGTTTGCTGTAGCCATTTTGAGAGCTTTAAGCATATTTTGATGATTATTAAGTTAAATATCGTGAATAGAAATGATTTGAGACAGAATAATTGTGACATTATTTTCTAATCGTCCCATGTCTACTCAGGAGAGCAGAATAGAGCTGTCACTAAGTCTGAATAATTGGCGAGATGACCCAGTTAAATGGTGGTTTCATGTCAACGTTAATAGCTTTTTCATACATTTTACATTATGATTACATATTTATGACTGTATTGATATTTTTTTCACTTTTAAGTATTAAAGCTGTGCACTTCTACACACCTCTTTGCTTGTTCAGGGACCATTCCAATTCTTGTAACACTTGAAACCATCTTGGATAAGTATAAGAATATATCTAGCGCCAAACATCTTTGTAACGGTCTCCTGTGTGCAGCAGTGGGGAGTCTGTCCAAACATGTTGTTGGCAGATGTACTAAAGATAATTCCATGTGAACAAAAACTCTTATCATGTTTGTGTGAGGTCCACTGGTCTGTGATATTTAGTTTGACAAATGTTCAAACTCCAGTCAAACCATTGTAATGTGATATTTATAGTAGAATGGAAAACTGACACATCAAATACTCTTATCATCAACATCACAAATTGAATTGTTAGCCATCAGAACACAAATTTAAACAAATATTTATATACACGCAAATGACTGTCCATGAATGAGTGCTTGAGTAATTATCAGGGGAAAGAGGGGTTATTTCTAAGGAAGCAGACAAAGGTTGAACTCTTCACCCTGTGCATGACTGAGTGTGTGTGTGGGCCTGTGGTTCAAAACTTCCATCCAAATCAAAGCCCCTTTTCATTAGCACTGTGTTATATGAGTCCTGTGTTAGATTAGCAGGAGGCAGACGTAGTTACACATATGCAAACACATTTATATATACGTCAGGGCTGTGTATCTGCAAGAATGTGGCGATACGAGGGGTCACAGCTCAATATATTGTGATACATTGTGTGTCTGTTAGACGCAAAGACGCTTTTAATTAGAACAAAATAAGGCAAAGGTCACATTTCAATATAAAAGTGTGTTAATATTTCTTTCACCCCTAAAGAGCCATCACTATTTTTGTCAGACTTGATTATTTAAGATGAGTGAATTATGAATCCTTATTCTGAGCAAAATTGGGTTTTGTGATTAAATAAATTAAATAAATAATAAAATTCAATAAACATAAGAAGTTAAAAGCAAAAAAAAAACTTAAATAAATTCAAATAAATATAAGAAGTCAAATGAAAATGTCCATAAGAAGAAAATATAAAATATAATTAAACTATTTGTGTAAAAATAAGAAGTTAAATAAAAAACGTGCACATTGTACTATTAAATAATGTGTATATTACAATACATATGGTTGTGTAGAGTACAGTGTCCTACTTTCAGATACTCTGTGGTTCTGTCTTGGCACAGACCCACCCCCCCCCTCACTGCCTCCCCCACACACTCTGCAGTATATACATCATCCAACCTATTGTAACATGGAGCTAAAGGTGGTCTTTTATGCAGTTAACTCATCCAGAGCATGGCTAATGGATGGTAACAATTATAAGCAATGGGGCAGCCATTATTGCAACACTGAATTAAAATGGCTCTTTTTATCTTGATACGCCACTAGGTTCAGTGTGACTATAGGGAAATAAAATACGTTTCACAGGACTGAGACAATAATAAGTGTGAATTGCAGCGCTTCAACCAGGTCCAACACATTTCAATAGTTTGCTAAAAGTCTGTATGTTAACTCGTCCATAGTGCAAGAGGGACTTAATGAATAATTATTACTAAGAAAGGAGCAGATATTCTATTCATTTTGAATATTATCATCATTACTGTTGAACCAAGTGAAGGTAATGATATCTCCTCAAATCCAGCTACTGTAACTGTTTAATTGTACTTACTTATGACAATGAGTTATGTTAATACTTCATAAGCAATAGACATTATATTCTGTATATTTAAATATGAACTAAACTCCTATATTGCTACCATCAATCTATAATATCACTATATTTTTTTAAACTTGAAGGATATGCATAAGTAAAAAAATAAGCTTGAGCAACTTTGAGGATAATAATATACTGAGATGAAACAATGTTCTTTTTAAAGGGTTTTTGGGCTTTTTGACATTTGTTGGAAAGTAAAAAGTCAGACAAAACATAGGGAAAGAGATTACATTCTCCACAATCCTCCTCACTGTATGGTCACTGCTATTTATCCATAGGCAGCTAGTTAAAGATCACAGTGTCTGTCAAAATCCCTCCTATATCCCAAGGTCTTTACGCCAGTGACTTTGAGAACTCCCTAACATTGTTACATAATGAATACATTACGGGAGACTTTTCTCATCTCCAAATCTGCCACCATCAGAGATGATTAAAACGTCCCATGTGGTCTGTGTAGAGTTTAAATTCTCCAGTGGGAGAGTATGAGACCCTGGCTTGAAGTCCCGGCGACAGAATATCAGATTTGTGATTTTATTTCAAATTAGTGCTTAAGCCTTGGACTTTCATATTAGTAGAGTCCCTATTGAGATCTGATCAAGTCTCATTACTTTAGCAATTAAAGTTTCACCCCTATGGTCCTCCCCTCCGCTCCTGCCCCCCCGCCTCCTCCTAAATTCTCCTCCTCCTGTCTCCTTTTCCTTTATCCTCTCCTCCTAGCCATCGTGTGTTTTTAGCCACCGAGGCGGAGGAAGAGAGGAGAAAGGGAGAACGGCTTGCGCAAATCCTTGATTGGCGAAAGTCTATCCTCCATCTAGGATTACGAATAGAAATGGAACATTTGAGGACAAAATAAGGAGGGGTGAGATGGGAAGAGACCGAAAAGAAGAAAGAGAGATTGAGTGTGAGAGTGAGAGATGTGAGTCGCAGAGTTATGGGCACACAGAGAGGGAGAGAAGGTGGCTAATATAATTGAATTAAAAAAGATGGAGCGGGGCCATTTCTAAGCAGGTGGGAGTGTGGAGTGAGAAAGAGCAGGCGAGATATTAACTTCTAATAAAAGAGAGATTAGAAAGTGGCTAGGAGGACTGCTCTGTCTTTACCTGTGGGAGTGGCGGCCCCCACATAACCTTTCACAGCAATATGCACACTGATATTGGGCGCAATATTCCGAGCATACCACACACAGACAGACAAAAGCATATACACAACTTCCATGGTGTCTGCATCCGCACCTAGAGTATATATATAGACATATATAGGTGACATTTGAGCGCGCACACACACACACACACACACACACACACACACACACACACACACACACACACACACACACACACACACACACACACACACACACACACACACACACACACACACACACACACACACACACAGTGTGACAGCAATGCATTATCAGCTCTCATTCAATGATCCAACAGGCGCCTGGCATCAGATAATGAAGACGCAGCTCTTTTGGAAGCCTCTGCTATACAGACAATTAATTAACTAATTGGTCTAATGAGCTCGTTAAGGGCGTGCTTTTTTTGGCAGCTGGTGTGAATACATTAACGAGGCTAATTCAATTAAACAGGTGCAGATTTCACAGCTGCCTCTCTCAGGCAGGCAGGCAGGCAGGCACACACACACACACACACACACACACACACACACACCCTACAGGTGTTGTGTACATGCACGCTCCATTTTACTCTGATGTCTTTCTCAGCTAAACTTTGGCATTCGATCAAAGGCGTAATGATATGCATATCATGCGGCCGTGTGTACATGTGGGTTTGCGTGTGTGTTTCACTCGGTGCTTGTGCGTCAATGGGCCGCTGTGCCTTTGAATCCAAAGTACAGCTCAATAAGCTTGAGCTGCTTTGGTAATCTGTATAATTGAAAGGGCATAAAACAAGTGGGTGGAAAACGTATTGAAGCGCTATGATAGCATACTTAAAACAGCATCCCAGGGGTCAACCAGTGATGTTAGCCAAAGCTACACACGCAATACAATTCTTAATTTGCTCCAAAGCTTTTTGAAAATATACAGTGTGGGTGTTTTCACAATATATTATTGGGCAGGTAGAAATAATGATGTTGCCAGTCAGGATGGATGTATTAAAAAATGTGTAACTGTAAATGTGGAAAAGAACCCTGTCTTTTAGCTAAATATAAAAACACAAGTAGTTTGGGTACACTTCTTACCTTTAGTCTTGCTGTATTCAGCTCTTCAGTTAGGTGGTTATTTATTTCCTCTTTCTCCTCCATCCTTCTCTCAAATAAAGCGCCAAGCCCGCCCCTTAAAGACTCCATTTTGGCCTCGGCCTGTAACACAGTCATGGGTTAATATTCATTCACCGTCATCAACTGTAGACAAAGCAATGACATGTGTATTGTAGTCACTCAAGCTCCTCTATTGGGAAAAATGACAATGAATCCAATTCTGATTGACAATGCGTGGAATTAAGAAGACAAAATTTGAAATAGAAAGAAATTAGACACTGATTGTCTAGAATGCTGCCATGACTTGAAATTCTACACACACCCACAATATAGACAATACAGGCATTACCTGTACATATACAGTGTGGGTGGGCACACATAGATCACACACAATCATAGAGTGGGACTTCTGATGTCACAGGGCGTGATGTTTATGTGTGTTTGTAAATGTATATGCATGGCAATTTGGTGTGTTTGGTTTGTTATGGCAGCAGCTCCATTAGAAGCTCCCCCATTGGCTGACTAAAGCGCTGAGGTCGCTGGTTAGCTAAACTCCCATGGAGATGATACCACTGATTAATTTCCTCCTTCTTCATCTCCTCCACCCTCCTCCACCCCCCTCCATCCATAAGTCCACCTTCCTTCCCTTCCCCCAGCCCCTTCAGCCACTGCTGAATATTAAATCAGTCCCTTTTTTTAATTTCCAGATAACCACGGTTCATTTTTCTCCGAGTGTCATATAGCCATGACATGGTGTAGCAGCCTATATATTAGGGATGGCTGATGTGAGTTATTGTTATTGTTATCTTTCTTCCATTTACTGCCTGTGTGTCCTACTGTATGCTATGCATGGTTAAATCATTACATCCACGTGTGGTACAAATATCGAATAACCACATTAGTAATTTGCAGTGTAATTTCCTATCTCCACAGTGCTATGTTGCCGCCTTCAGAGCCTACAAGTCTTTGTTTCACCAGAACATAAATATTGCCCTGTGGTGTTTTGTATGGCGTTTGTTTCCTGCTGGTTTATAATTAAGTCTGTGTTTGACAGTACATATGTTTGTGTGTACACGTTGGTCAGGGAGAAGGAGAAGAGAGGTAAATCTATACTCCTGTAGTGTGTTTTATAGCGATTTTGATTTTTGCCACTAACACTTAGAGGCTGATGTTAAAGAGGGAACTGACACACACATAAGAAATACACAAGCATTCCTGACAGCAATCCTGCAGCTTGAACTATATATATTTTAGGGCTATACATTCGCAATATGGCATACTGCAATTCTCAAAACACAGGAGGTGTAATGGTTTTGAAATGCGTAATGTGTGTCCAAACACTAACTTTAACCTTGACCATCAGAGTAATGAAGTAAAAAACATAACTGTATATCAGAGAAAATAATCGCAATGAAATGTTTTTTTTTACAATTTGTTCAACTCAAGTATATAAATATATTTATATATGTACATGTGTGTGTTTTAGTATTCTATACACATGTGCACACACAGACAGACACACACCACAGACGTCATCACTCAATGTCCCAGCAGCAAATTCAATCTAACAATCTGAGTGGCCCCCTCTGAAAAATCTCTATGCCTCCTGCAACCGCCGCGCCCCCCCCCCCCTTCTAATTCTGGGTCTTCACTAAATCACATGATGTTTTTATTTACCAATCTGCACACCTGCCTTTACTTCATCCTAATTCAAAACACTTGCTGACTAGACGCAACCAAACAACCTGTGTGTGCTCATTTGTGTTATTGTCAGTGTGATCAAATATTTGTTTACCCCTATATTTACACACAAGTTAACACTTTGCTATCCGATCATTATGCTTTGTCCTACATCCAGACTTTTAACAACAACAGCTGCTCTCCGGTTTTTTTTCTTGCCTTGCATTGTTGTGCCTTCCCATCATCATATTACTCCACATCACCTGCTTGCATAGCCTGGAACCTCGCCCAGGAAACTGGAGAAGTGGGAAGTGATTTGGAAAAATGAGGGCAATAAAAAAAACACAGGGATGAATGGAGAGATGTGATATAGGGTAATATGCTAACCCAATCAGCGGGCTGCTGTTGCCGACAGTATAATCAACATATCGGCCTAATGTCATTACAGCTATATGAGAAATAATATTGCGTGAAATGATATTGCGCGGCGCGTGCCCAGCCATGTGGTGCACACATGGACGAGCTAACACGTCCAGATGTATGCATCACCTACCACTTCCTGGCTGAGTCCTGCACACACACATGGCGACACAAAGACCTACAATTCTGCATGCACCTAATGCAGAAAAAATGACTACCCATTTCTGTGTAACAACCATCAGTTGTGCTTTTCTCATAATTTTAAAGAAAGAGAGAAATTGCCATTTATATGAAAAGATTCCACTTGTTCAAGGCAATTAATTACTTTATGATTGAAATTGATTAGATACATTTAAAAAGGTGGTATTATTTGACCACACAGACAATTTCTTTAAAGAATACAACTAGGGTTATGGGCAGGATTAGTTTT